AAGGTTCTAATTGTAAGATTTAATCAAGCGATGCGAAAGGATTCATCGAAATTTCAGAAACTGTACCCTTTCAGCCGCTGAAGTCATGTAAAATACTTTTTAACTGATTTCTGATAAAACGTCAGCGGTAATCTTTTTCAATTTTTTTCCTGATCGCGAGAGTTTTATTCCGTTCATATCACCGGAAGGCATTGTTTGTTTACTCTTCCATTCTTTTAGGCAGAATTCTTGGAATCAGAAGAGGAAGAGGAAACCGATTCTGATTTCAGCTGCGAATCTTCTAGTTCGTCAGAGTCGTCTGTTTCTTCGTCGAAGTGTACAGATAAAGATTGCGCTGAATCTGTCAAACCTGTGGTAACTGACAAACCTGCAAAACCTTCTAGACCTTCTTCGGATGATGGCAAGGACACCAATGTCAAAACTGACCTTTCAGTACCTGGTAAGATCTTGAAACATTTATCATTTTTTGTGTTAGGTGAGACTCGCTAGTTGAATGACACTGCTTAATCCAAGCGAACCTTCTTTGGCTTATCTTTGGTCTAGAAGTTGTTAACCTTTTTCTCTAACGCAGCCTCTTAAAATTTGAAAGTTATCGGCCACACGTTCCCTTCGAATTTCGAATCCAAATGCCATATCTCATTTCACGTTCAGGGGTATGAGGAAATATTCAAGTTTGTAAAACGGGTATTCGTGATTTCCAGGATTTGACCATCAGAATCATGAAGGATTTTATTTCCGTCCATTCACTGGCATCATTAAGATGGCATCCGTTTCTTTCTCTGTTCTTGCCTATCAGTAATCGTCTTGCGTTTTTAAATGATGCTACACACTCGAATAAATTCAGTCTGTTCCGGCACACATTGTAAACCATTAGATGTATATTATTTTTAACCGCAGCTCCTACTACCAATTACCCCAGCAGTCTCTAGGAATTGCTGGATTTACAACAGCAAGTGAATGAATATATTATGTCTAAGGACTGTTACTGAGATAATAATTTTTCAGTTAAGTTTTTTTGTATTTTCACTCCTGTTTGAAGTATATGCATTGGTCTTATTAGAAGCGGTAACACCGTTAGGCGCCGGCGAATGGTTTCGCGATATGGTGAGCGAAAATGACGCAAACAACTTAGAACTTTCTTCCAAGATGTTTATTCTCTTCGAGCTGATACGTCGATGCGAATCGATTGGCGACAAACTGTAACGGGCACAGTTTTTAATCTAAGCATTCAATTGTTTTGTTTACAGACTTGTCTTTTCTCAAAGTCTGATCGCTCTGAACGTGATCGAGACGTTCCTGAGCAACGCGCATTCAAACTTGTCATCGGAGGATCAAACGTCGTTCAGCATGTATCCGTGGCAAAAAGATGTGGATTACTTTCGCATTGACGGT